TTTCTCGTAGCTGCTCGCCTAAGCTCCATCTTTTGCGTGCTTGATCGCTAAATCATTTCGTTACGCTCGGATGCAGCTAAATGATTGGGTGCACGCCCAAGAATGTTAGAGGCAGTGTCCAGGCAAATTTGGGTGTAGATTATCTGCCTGAGAATTGATGAGGGTTCACGCTCAGGTAGTGCCCGAACGGCAGCGCAAATGCTTCATTCGCGGCTGAGAAATCTATCCCCAAACCCTTCCGCTCGGGGCCGGTAACTCACTACTTAGACACGCACGACTTGAGCGGGTCCCAGAGCGAGAGTAGCTTTAATGTAAATGAGGTCACTTGTGGGTTACGGTCATGGCGCAGGCTGGATGGGTTTGACGGATCTCTCAGCAATGAATGAAGCATTTGCGCTGACGCTTGGGCAATGCTTTAGTTAGGACCCCCTCGTCAGTTTAGTGGCAGCGTATTTGAGCACTATCTTTGAACAAATCAGATTGCCACATTTGCATTCGTCAGGATCGAAAATGTGGACACAGGTTATGACTTGTAGTCAATGTCGTTTCGCAGAGCATTGCTGTTCACCAGCTTAGGAGACAGCCTCAGTCAGCCTTCTGGTGCAATGTCATTTACGTCATTTGTATCCTTGAGTCATACGTGTTAGGGTTTACTTGAAGTCACTTTCGCGATGTTCAGGCGCTGCATTTTTTGAAATGATAAACTGTTCCAACTCTGTGATGTATGGAGCTGTGCTATCCGTTGCAGATGTCCATATGGGACCACGCATTCGGGCGACATAGTAATCTAGGCAAACCTTTTCTATAATCACATATATAACCGGTTTTCTGGCTTTATCTTTAAACGCATCTGCTGCACGCTTTCTGATTTGCTTTGCGAGCATGCAAGTTCCTTCTTGCATTTGCTAAACGGAGAGCACGGCAGACAATGATTGAACCAGATCCACATAATGAGCATTGCGATTTCACCTGTGATTTCACTTATTGTTTTGCAACATGTAAAGTCTACAGTTCAACTTGTGCATATATGGAATATATTCGCCATTTTACTGTTGGCTCTAGCCATACTTCGTAAAAATCAATCTCTTGTAAATTGCATGCATTCCATATTCAGACTTCTTCTGCCAGCAGTGTGACAGCCCAACTCGTGGACGCTGAAACAGGGGACGTCGTTCGATGTCTTTTGGATGAGACTGCTGTTAGCCGATTGCTGCGAGACGCATGGCTTGGGGATGAAGTCCTTTACGCTTACTTGCTTTATGTAACACGAAACACCAACGTTGTTGCACTTGATCCTCTACTGCTACAGACGCCGT